CTACATATAGAACATAGAGCCAGAGCTTATACACTGTTTAATGAGGACATGTTACTGATTACAGCTTTATCTTTTTATTTATTTCTAGGAGTATTTTAACAAACACTATATAACATGAAGTTGCTGTTTCCTCTTGTTTCCAGTCTTTGTGCTAAGCTAAAGGGATTTCAGAAATATCATTATCATATTTGTGTGTGTGTTCGTGCTCACCCCCGCTGTCAGAGTCATGGAAGTTGGGGTCCAGGCCCTTTTCCAACCATTTGGAAACCTTCTCCACATTCTTCTGATGAACATGTTCCATGAAGCGCTTCAGGTTGGCCTGAAAAACACCCAAAATCCTGCTTTTATCTAAAGGAAACAGCTACAAGAACCCTTTAAATGGAGAATTGAGCAGTTTATTTATTTAATATATTCACTGTTATAAAATGAGACACACCGCTTGGTGTTATTATGAACAGTGGGAGTGAACATACATTATTAATGGATTTGTGTTGTCTAGACAAAGAATACAACATTTGTGTCTATAGCTGTGATTCATCAGTGTGTGTGTGTGTGTGTGTGTGTGTGTACCTTGGTGTGGAGCTTGGCCAGCTGTTTATCGTCCACGTAGCTCTGCGTGTAAATTCTCCTCTTGTAACGAAACTGTAGAAAAAGAGGTGAAAATGTTTATTAACACAAATGATATTTATAAAGTGTCAGTTAGATTAAATTCAAAGACATTTAACAAATAAATAAATGAGACAAAATGTTTGATTTAAGCATAAATCTATTAAATAGTCTGTTACATATAAAGGTTATTTTATCCTACAGTGCAGTTTGTATTAGAAGCTCTATCTTTTCCTCACACATACAGGACAGAGACAGTTAATGTCTGAGGTCGGATGTTTGAAAAATGTCTCTGTGATATGAAATAAAGGAAATAAAAACAGCTGGAATGAATAAACTTTATTTGTGTGAAAAGAAGCAGATTAAATAATAAGCTGTTTTATATTATAATGTACATCTTCTCTGTGTTTATTCACATGAGTATTTCTTTTCATACGTTCTTATTTACAGAAGTTTTATGACTTCAGACTTGATTTAGGCTTTAACACCAATGACTCGTAGCTTCCTTTTTGACTTGAAAATACTTGATAACTTCCCCCAAACGCAAAGATTAAAAAGTCACTGGTAGTTATTTAAACTGTTAATAATTAAATTATTTCCTTAATCAGTTAACATTAATGTTATTAACTCTTTAGATCCAGTTTGTCTGAATCAGTCCGACAGCATCCAATCAGGTTGCAGGAGAGAACGATGACATTACTGAGCGCCAGTTGAAAAAATGATACCAAAGATAATTTTGTTTTCTTCTGTTGTTAAAATGACTGATTACAGTCGGTGAAAAGAACATTATGACTTGTTTAGGACTCGAAACTCAAAGTTTGAGACTCTGCTTATTTATCTACTTATTATTTAATCATAAACACACACTGTAGTTTATTTATACACTGTCCTGCTGCCCCAAATAGTCACTAGAATACCAACTGTGGATTAATCTGCTGCTGAAAATAGTCCCAAACAAATGCACCATTTGTGTAATAAAAACTACAGCGAACAGCTGCTTTTTTAAGGAAATGATGCTGCTTTTAATTTGATTTTAAAGGTCCAGTGTGTCACA